TGCTTAGAGAACAGTTTGGATAAGTGTATTCAACTTTACAGCCAGAATGTATTCTAAAACAACTTTTCTGAAGAATATCTAAGCAGAAGCTACTCTTCTATTATGAATTTATTTCAATTATCTTTCATATTTCTCACTGGAAAGATTCTGAGGACAGCGTTACCAGTAGATTATTTATTTTAAGTCTTGTATATGTTTATTTTAAAATGAGCATCTTAAATTTGGTGGGAAGCACCAGGGGCCTCTTCACAAAATCGACAAGACTTTTGTCTCAAAATGCTCAACGATCATCACGAACAGCTAGACTCTCCTGAAACACACATCGGGTGCTTGGGTATGCCCTGGTACCTATGGGCAATATGTTGGGAAACCCTGGCATAGTACTTCTGGGCTTATTAAATCTGCTTAGTGATAACTTGCCAATTCATGAAACACAGTCAATGTAAAATCTGTTATGATGATGTGAACTCAGAAGCAATCTCCGCTGCACCCCATGGCACAGATTCTAGTTTAGACTTTTATGGTCTTTGGAGTCCACCCTTTATCATTTGTGCTAGGGATTCCAGGAACTACAAATTTTCCACATAACATGATCTTTGAGCCTCTTATAAGCACTGTTGATGCACACATGTGAATTCAAATTAAGGTGTGAAAAAGTCATTTTAATATCAAATGAACATTCTAACTAATATAATTATTAGGTCTGATTTATAAATGTGAGAAATGAAAAACTAATTTAAGTGCTGGTTGTGAAGATGACCTCTGTTACACCTATTGAGCTTAATAATGTACACATTCCAATCTTTCTTCCCTTGGCCTTGTCCTATTCCCTAGCAAATTCGGTGAAATAATTACACCTTACCATATCACTTCCAATGTCAACTAGCCAATTGAGGTGAATAAATATATACAATCAATCACAAGCAAATAATACGGGTCTAGTATGAAATTTCTGGTTTTTAAGTGAGATTTCTTTGTCCCGTTTGAGTTTTAAAATTACTATACATGTTTAGCAGCACTATACGAGAATGATTAAACCTGGGGGTGCCAATGGAAATAGCTAATCACCTTTCTTTCACAGGTAGGCATAAATTAAGTGGTTTGACAAAACTGACAATTGCAGATCTTAATGAACTTCGAAGCTTTCCCTCTGAAAACTGGGTCATTGAAATTTGCCTGGAACTACCCAATGTTTTAATGAATTTGTTGGACTGATCAGGACTTGCATAGTTCATCAAGGTTCTCAGACATGATAGCAGCACAATTGCATCCACATTTTTAAGAGTCATTATTGTACAACAATCTAATTCCAGTCGAACCGTCCTTTCTCCAATTAAGACAGTTTCAACAGAGAACCAATGGCACTACCAGACTGATGGAGGCACTGAAATCCCCTCTCTGCCTTTGAGAATGAAGTAGAAAGTGAGACTGAGAAAAGAGTGCACTGCTGTTTACGGCAGTAATAAAGATGACAGGAGGCATGGTTAATGTTTGCATTTTAATTACCAAAAACAACACTGGGAAAGGCAAGATACATAACGTGAAAAGAAAGTACAGCTGTGACAAAGAGAAGACAGAGCACTGAGTGCTGCAGATGGTCAAGCACCTAGAACCTGTACGGAAAGGACTGTAACTGCCCCGTGACACATCCTGGCCTCGTTCAATTATTTAGAAGTTATTGTTATTACTGCTTTCAAGAGACGCCTGTACAACGGAACCCCCAAAGCAATACTAAGGTAAGTTTCCTCAAACTGGGCAGAGATTGCACCCTATATTTTTTACCTCTTTTGTTATGACAAAATATTAATGTTATGCTTATCATGCCCCAACTCCTTATATATTTATTGCTTTCCAGCAAATGCAAAACTTTCTTTATAATTAATAAATCTGATTCCTGATTAAATTAATCTAATTATCTTTACAGAGGCCAACAGTAAACTCTGTCTTACTTTGCTCTTGAGCTTCCCAGGCATTCTGGTTGGTTACGGTTGGATACAAAAGCGTTGCATTATACGGGCCTTATTGTATTTACCAATATTCAAAGTATTTTAGAATTGTTTATTGTTATTAAAGTGTTGAGAACTTCCAAGTCCTCAAGGATCACTCCTGGTAGTTGCTGACAAGGGCATGGAAATACTTGACCTGATACCAACAATTCCCTTGGTGTGGTTGGGGCATGAGTTATTTGCTCCAAGGAAGCTGTTTCCAGAGACACTCCAATGGCCTTCCTTCAATTACAACATGAGCACAGGAAGACAGTTCTTTATTCCATTTTCATGCTATGTAATAGTGTCTGACCACCTGTTCTGATAGGCTGAAGTTCTCAAGGGGCAACTCCTCCATAGTAAGAGGCAACTATGTGCGTTCACTCTCAAACAATTCCCCTGAGATTCCTTTTTCATTTTGTATCCTTTTAAATGGTAAAATAAAAATAGTTTTAAAAAATTCCACAGAGATTATTAAAGCTGACTTGGGATTTGTATGATATCCTTCCAGTTAGAAACTTAGAGCCAAACTAGACCTGACAGTGTTCTCGTGGCCACTAAGAAGATGCCAGTGCCATTTCAAAGGAATTCAAAAATGCTGTGAGGATTTGATCCTGATTGGGCCCACAGTGCTGCAGGCTGAGGCACTCTTCCCCCCCCCCCGCCATGCCTTTTCAAGTGCCAAATGAGCTGCACCCTCCCACAGCTATTTCAGCACTTGTAAAGGCAACAGGGTGGTACAAGAGCGCAGCATGGGCTCCATCAGGATCATGCCGGAGGGCATTTTAAAAAGATTTTAACATGAGGATGCTGTCACATTTAGACCATTTCCGCAGTAGTGAAATTCCCTGCATTGACATTTTTAAAACTGCGTGTAATGTGAAATTTTCACATTAGATTTTTCCTCACCAGGAGCAAACCCAACGTTTTCTCTTTCTTACCCCGTATTTTTGGAACTCGCTAAAACTGGAGATTCCGAAAACGTGGGGTAAGAAGGAGAAAACTTTGGGTTTGCACCCAGTGAGGAAAAATCTATTCCGGACAATTTTACATAACACGCAGTTTTAAAAACATCAATGTGGGAAATCTCACTACTGCGGAAATGGTCCTACTTTGGACTTTTATGGTCTTTGGGGTCCACCCTTCATCATTTGTGCTTAATTCCTACAATGCACTTGGAGGAATAAAGTAGAGGGAAAAGATGGAGCTGAGCTCTAGCTACAACCTGCTTTTGGGATCCTCCCTCCAGTCAAGCCAGGGTGGATTGGCACATGATATTTACCCCAAAGTCCAGTCCTGGCAATACCACTGCTTACAACCAAGATTAATTTTTAGTCTAAGAAATTTTCTGATACCTTTTTTTTAAACTTTGTCTTGTTCTTCATTAACTTAGAATGACATTTGAACCTGCTTGTACTAGATTTGGATGGTTTTGTGGGAAGGGATGAGAAATAAGTGGACTGGAACAGACAGGCAATAACTAAAAGCTCCAAGGAAGGAAGAAACAGTAAGAAACACAATGTCCAGGACAGCTGGGAGCACTGGTGAACATAAGGAAATTCAGAGAACAGCCAAGCACTTGTCAAGAGAGGAAAACACTGTGCTGAAAACAGGAACACACACCACCACACAGAGTCCACAGAGATTGAAAGGTAAGCACCTTTCAAAGATAGGAAGTCTATTAACAGTGCAATAAGAATACTCTTCAGAAAAACACAGACTACAGATTATCTGTACAGTTGCCTCACTGAAGAAACCAGAGAAGTGGGTAGATTTAGTGAGATCAATATGTCACTTGTATATATTATTATGTGTATTTTACACATTACTTTCCCCTGACTCCTCTCCTCAGTATAGCAATAACATTTTTGTTTACACGTTATCTAATATATTGCCTCTCTTATATAAAGGGTTCCCATATACTTTTGGATCAAAAAACTCACAAATATGACTGTTTACACTCTAGCTACCTAAAGAGTCAGTGCTTTACTGATGAGTATCGCTATGCAACTTTTTTTCCCCAGCTACCACATTAAAAACCAAATACCCAATTAATTGTAAAACATACTTGTTTTGGGGCATCTGCGGAGGTGGTGTGAACTTCAGTACCTCGGAGTCCATTAGACTCAAATACCACTGTGGGAACAAGGGGGCTTGTTAACAGATGAACATTCAAGCTTAGTTAGTGTGCGTACATTATTTGAGTCCATTACAGATTAACCACACCGGGGGGGGGGGTGCAACACCAGCTCCTTGCCTATAGCTGGAAAATACCAATTTACTGTAACACTTACTGTAAGAGAGTGTGCTAATGGCAGCCTAAGGCCACTGCCCTTTTTAATTCAGACTTCGTGCTGAAGAAAGCAATCACTGACAACATTAATTATCAGTGTATGTGTAAAGGGACCCTCTTTTTGAATTACTTACCATTTGGCCTCTGTCATTTTGCATCAGACTGCCTTATGTATGATGCCATTCACACTTTTTTTTAAAATAAGTGAACATTCTTGTCTTCCTGTCGCATATAATGCTACTGAGGTATCTTGACACACTGGTAGGTTTACTATGTTCTCCACAGTATATCATATTCCAGCTTAAATAAGGCTGAGAGATTGAAAAGTCCAGTTTGAAGAGGATTCGGGGCTCATTTGAAATAAAGAAAAAGCTCTCTCTCAGTACACCGCAAGGAGAAAGGAAAAACAAAGCTTTACGTTTTGATCAAAAGGGTTCTTTGATTTCAATTTGTGCTAGTGGCAATGGAATTCATTAGCATACTCATTCAAGAGTATTCTGCTCTCTAATTAAAATGTTTTTAAATCTGTGAAGTGGTTTGTCTCAATCACAACACAACCATGAAACAAAAAGGAGAGGGGGATACGGATCAAAATTTTTAAAATGTTAGTAAATGAGATGGTTTTTAAAAATCCTTTTTCGGGTAGCACCAGAGATTTAAAAATGTGTTAGTAGGGGCTACCTCCCCCTCACCCCCTTCGGAGGACAGATAAGAAGAGGTACCTGTGTGAGACCTCATGTGGGTCCTGAGGTGACTGGGCTGGGAAAATCCCTTTCCACACTCGACGCAGACATAGTCTCCTTGTCGTGTTTGTGTCCTAAGCATCCCTGTGGTGGAGAGAGAGGGGAGGAGGGAGAAGAGAGCAGTAAGGAAAGTTGAGAAGTAAACATTATGCCAGAGGAAAACATCATTAGTATGTCTAATGTGTCATTATGTGAGGCTACCTTCAGGCCCTGGATGACAACTGTCAGCCTTCATCTAGGCACTGGCTGACAGGCCAGGCACACACAGGACTGCTAGAATGCATAAATTACATTGAATTAAAAAATGCTCCCCATGATGTGCCCGCACCAGGACTGGCATGTCAGGTGTGCGCTTTTCATAGCAGCTGGATCCACTTTTCAGCTATCACCCAGCTTTGTCAAACAGTACATCAGGCAAATCAAAGTGACTCCAGCGTGGCGGAGACAAGTCACATGGATAATAGGAAGTGAGTAGAACCAGAGCCCGACTGTCCCCCCCAGGCTGCAATACCTTGGAGACAAATGCAGAGTGAGTGGAGCCATCACAAACGGATCAAACCTTTAGCCCTGCCTTACCTGCCTGCCGGTGCAGTTTTGACCCCGGCCCTCAGAGGCACAGACGGAAGACATCTGTGAATCAAAGTGTCATTACGGACATTCTGAGCTAGTAGCAACACCGCAGTCTTCTGCCAGCCCTCGATAAACATGTTTTCTAGGCCATTAGCATTTGTGGAAAATGACTCAAACCTCGTCTTTTTTTCCAAAGGTCAGTTTACAGTATCTGACTTAAAGGGCTGGTCTTTGTCTTTTTACCACTGATCCAAAAGGACACATTTGACTTTTATTGGGTTATTTCTTTTCTCAAAAAATTTGACTATCTTCTTCAATATTTTGGTAAGACAGTCTGCTTAAAGGGAGGGGGAGGAACGGTTTGATGTTTTCCTTTGCCATTATATATAAAAAAAGTCCTGGCTGTACAAAAATCCTCAATGTGGTATCAGTAAATATTCAAGCTTTGGAATTCATGAAAACTATTAGGGAAATTACTAATACAATGATAATGTACCATATTTGTAATTTTTGTTTTGTAATTTGCTCTTAAGAAAAAGTGACTAAGTAAAAATACAACACCTTGGATACCTAACAAGTACAAGAAATTAAAACATTCAAATAATAAAAAAATAAAATAAAAAGAAGCCAATTTACCCCACACATGAGATCTCCTACTTGCAAACACCAAGTACTATCAAAATCTATGATAAACAGCAACTGTGTCTGTAACCAGTGTTCTCTCTAAGCTGAGTTAAGTGTGAGCTAGCTCACAATTTTTTAGCCTCTGGCTCACACATTTTTATCTTAGCTCAGGAAGGATGGCTCCAGAGCAAACTAATTTATGCAATAGTCAAATAGCTGGCTCATATCTTTAATGCCAGTAGCTCACAAAGTAGAATTTTTGCTCACAAGACTCCACAGTTTAGAGAGAGCATTGCCTGTAATCTAACTTAAAATCTAGAAAACATTTTAGAATGAAAGATGCCTTACTACTTATCACCATACTGGTCCAGCTATATCCTCAAGAGAATACCACATTGGCCAGGGATTTAAATGCCAGAGTAGGTAATAATATCTTATCCCTTGTAATAACTTAAAAATTAGATCCCACCATAGCATGACAAAACAAAAGACAGTGTCATGCTGATAGAGGATGTCTTGATTCTGAATGAGTTCCAATGAGTTCTACAGTCCAAGCTTTAATCTTGGGACTATGTTCTGGTAGGGTGAAACCTGTTCACTACTTCTGGCACTGAGTAGCCTTGCCTTCAAGGACAGGGACCTCCATTTAAAGGAAGCAGTGTCCTTCATCCAGCTACTGAAATCAGCTCCAGAGATACAAGGGCAGTAGGGTTACCAGGTCCACTTCCCTGCCCGGCAGGGGCTCCCAATGTACTTTCGGGAGACAAGAAGTGATGTTGGGCAACTTCAGGTAAAACCAGAAACGCAGGCCCTGACATGATGACATCACCCAGAAGCCCAACTACTAGCTTGCTTTCCCAGGGACAGGAGGGGGAAGGAGCACTGGCCAATAGGATGAGTTAAGGGTGGGCACACTGCTCTTTGGCCAATCACAGAAGTTTGTTCTTTTTTGAAATTCTTCTGTGTATTGTTGTTGTGATGATTCTGTGCTTAAGTTGACATCAGTCCTCCTGATGAGCTGGCATTTGCCAAAATGGCACTGGGTTCAGCTAGTAGGTTGGCACTGGGTTCTGCTGCTGGGCACTAGCACTAGAACACTGCACTGCTTCTGCTGCTAGCCTTGCAAACATGCTTCCATAGTTCAGAGATTCTCAGATTTGATCTTAGTCCTGTTGGGTTTTGGCACTGCCACAGTGGCACTGGTTCTGGTGGGCACATTGCACTGGTTCTGCTGCTGACCTTGTAAACATGTCCCCTCACACCACACCTCACTTAAGTTTCTACTGCAGAGTTTCTCTGGGAGAAACTGCTGGGCTGTTGTTTTATCTGCCTGCCTTTGGAAACAATGGAGGATGGGTGCACCCTATTTGGATGCCTCTAGAATTGGACCCCTGGGTCCAAACTTTTCCAAACTTGGGGATTCTTTTGGGGAGAGGTTCCAGCAGCTACCATACCAATTTGGTGCCTCTATCTCAAACCCCCCTCCCCTCCAGCCCACTGAATACTTCTCAGAAGATTTTGCTATTGACTACAATGGCCCTATAGGATATAATGGAGCCGGGTTTTTTTCAGTATTCCCGAATATTTCTGGATACCAATACATTGCCAGACTACACTGCGAGCTGTTGTAGATGACCTTGCTCCATGAAGGCAGCTAGTGGAGGGAGTTAACTGAAGCAGCCTTCAGAATTCTGTGTGACACAACTCTCTCTCTCTCTCTCTCTCTCTCTCTCTCTCTCTCTCTCTCTCTCTCTCTCTCCTCTTGATAGAAGATGAAGCCATCAGAAGTTGGTTTTTTACTTCATCACTGGTACATGATGAACATGATTAATGAATGTGCCTCAATACAGAGTTACTACATCAAGAGAATAAGCTCCTTTCACACCTTTATACAAAAAGTATGAAATCCTAACCATGTATCACAAAAAATGTTCATCGTATGAATCTGGGGAAGTTAAAATCACCTTGTGAGGACCTCACAGCATCATAATATAATTTGGGAATTGACCTCAGAGTACTTTTAATAAACTTTACTCTCCATGAGGTAATTGTTAAAATAATCAAAATAGATTGTGATTTAAAAAATTGCAGAGAGCAAAAAATGCACATTGATGGCTGTGCTGGATTTGGCCAAGATTGAGTGTGGATATATATTTTGCCAGGACTTTTTAAAAAGGTTCATATTTGGTATTCTTAGGATTTTATGCAGATCACAATATCATTTTTAAAAAGTATACCTCTCAAGATATTAGAAGTGTACAGATGACCACAAATATTAGTCACGTTTATTTACATAAATTTCAGTTTCTCGTCATACACAAGAATTCCTGTGAAACTAGAAGAGGTAATTACCATGCTGCCAATGTCACATTTGATACTATGATAGCTGTAAATAACACTAATAGTAAAATAGAAAAATAATCCCCAAAGAATAGGAGTGTTTTTTTAAAAAATAAATTCTTAAGAAAGCATCAAGCTAGCAAATGCGTGACATAATGCAAATGCTAATAACTTGCACTGATATTCTGGCGGTACTTGTAGCCATGTCTCCCAGGGATTGGAAAATCACTGTTACTAGAAGGAAACAAAACTGTGCACTTGCCTCTTGAGAACATAAGCCCAATTTAAAATGTAAAAGCCAAAGCTCCAAACCTGCCCCAATTCCATTTCATGCTAAAGTATTCATAAGGGAATGTACTGTTGGGACCAATAAAGGTCTACTGTGATGGAGAAGTATACTGAATATTCAGAATAAGAGTATGAGTAATGTTTCACACACTCACACACACCCAAGTTTCTCATGCTAGACTGGAAAATTCAATAAAAATAAAGCAAACCCTCACATTCGAGTATAATGAAGCCGAACTAAGATAATACAATCTTGGACAATCCAAGCTAAAATAATTCTTAATGTATACACTAACTCACTATTTTATTGGATAGAATCCTTAAAAATTGTTTTTGATATCTATGAATGCTAAGTTTTTTCATGTACAGTAACATGGAAGAAAAATATCCTCCGTACTAATTCCCAGTGAGCACAAATTTTCATTAATCAATAGCAGGGATATCCAAGATCCAGGAATCTACCAGCTGTTTCTGGTGGCTGAAACAAGTTTCTGTGCCCAGAATCAGATGCAGGTTTGCCCGTGCTTATATGATGTTATCACCGTAATTATCTGGGAGTTGACTTTGACAAGGGCCCAACTTGCCCAGCAATCTCTTCTACCTTGGGGAAATTAGCATGTGCAACTGGGAAGGGACAATTTGAGCAAATCTAACCTAATCATAGTGCCTTCTCAAGTACGATGCTGTAATTTATTTCTGGCTTGCCTTTTCCCCAAAGGACATGAGCAGGTTACATTCTCAACTATAATTTTATAATATAAATTATTATAAAGATACAGCAAAACAAGGCGGGGATCTTGTGTTATATGGGGAGTTGATGTACTATGGCTGCTTTCTACTTGATATGTATTGAGGTCTGCATGATTCTTGTATTTTTAAATTCTGCATGGCCTTTGTATTCCCCCCCTTTAATTTTGGTTACTTCTTGTGTTTGCAAGAGTGCAACAGTCACTGGCTATCAAGCAACAACAACAAAACCACCCTGCATTTACTTGACAGTTGTGATCTTACAACCCACATACAACATGGGAAGAGCCCACAGTGTGCTTCCACACCATGTAGAGTTGCTAGCTCTGGGGGGCAACCTGCTGGGAGGATTTGGGGGTTGGGAGAACTGCACCAATATGCAGCATCCCTTCTGGTGTCACAGGCATTGCCCCAAACAGTATGGTTAAACACATGATGTCCCCTGTAATGTCATGAGAACACTTTCGGTTTTTGCCAGAAGTGACGTCACATGCCAGCGCAATGCCAGAGCATGCTCACCAATTAACACTTTTCTCCCGCTGGTCTTTGAGGCACCAGAGGAAAGAAGGGAAGATCACTGATCCTCCTCCCAACCCCATGCTATCGTTGCCCAAATCATAGTGAGCCAAACCTCTTATGAGGAGAACTACAGTGAAGGCTCATCTGACATGCTAGCCATGAAGGTATCCTGGGACCTCTTGCCATTTTTTAACAGGCAAGCTAAATTGGTGTGCTTCAGAATCCCAAAACACACATTCTGCCTTCCAGGAGGACTATGCAAATAGTGTCCTCCACTGTTGTTCTGAGTTCTGCAAGCATCAAAATCAAATACATGCCCTATTTTCAGAACTCTTAGCCACAACTTCCATGGGTATTTCACTTTTTAACTCATAATGCAAGAAAGAGTCCTAGACCCTTATATTTCTGGAATGATACCTCTAAATCCCCTTCTGCTTGGGAGAAATTTCTCATTGCCATTGTGCAACTGCACTTGAGTGTGTGTGTGTGAGAGAGAGAATGCGTGCATGTTCCTTATTTATCTAGCTGACAATTAGTTACATCTTTGTTATTTTATCCAGTAAGGCTTAACAGCTGTATTTTATCTTGTCAAGCAAATAAGTAAAGGAAAATCTTAGGATTTTAAGAAGGTGTCTTACACCAGGGCAATGAACATAAGGAAGCAGATTTCAATATCAATTTATCCAAGCAGAATCCCACATGAATAACAAAGCTTTGAGATTAACTATCTCCAATTCCCTTACCCTTTACCCCATTTTCTTATTGTTAACCTTAACCTCAGAGAGCTAATATATTTAGAATTATCCTGGGATGCAGTACCTGGTGTAGATTAATACAGAAGCTGCAGAACCAAGCCTGGTTCAGGACTAACCTCCATTTCAGTTACTTTGATGCTGCAACACTGCTTACAATTGACTAGGTATATGTAAAAAAAAAAAGCTAAGATTACTGTTGTGCATGAACTAGCTTTTGTTTTGTTTTGTGTCTTGCAATATTCAAAATAATAGCAAAATAACGTTGCAGCATTAGATTTTGGGTAGCAAGTGCATGGAACAAGTAGCCCACTCAATGGAATTGCTAATTTTCTAAGACTGAAATTTGATTTCCCTTCCTAAGCATGGGGGAAAGGGTGTTGTGAACTAGAATTTATTATTTTATTTATTGTTAATAAGGGCTCTTTTTGTAGCAGGAGCTCCTTTGCATATTCGGCGACATACCCCTAATGTAGCTAATCCTCCAAGAGCTTACAGAGCTCTTCTTACAGGGGCTACTGTAAGCTCTTGGAGGATTGGCTACATTAGGGTGTGTGTTGCCTAATATGCAAAGGAGTTCCTGCTACAAAAAGAGCCCTGGGCCCCCCGCTCTTTTTGTAGCAGGAACTCCTTTGCATATTAGGCCACACCCCCTAATGTAGCCAATCCTCCAAGAGCTTACAGAGCTGTTCTTACAGGAGCTACTGTAAGCTCTTGGAGGATTGGCTACATTAGGGGTGTGTCGCTTAATATGCAAATGAGTACCTGCTACAAAAAGAGCCCTAATACAAATATTATTAATAATATCAGGTAATTCTACATACTAGTTTCCTCCCAAGGGAAGTTTGCCCCATCCTTGCTTGCTTTGTGTTGTATGAAGAAAATTATCCTTTTTGCAAGGGCCTTTGGTATTGCTGATCAGTTGGGAAGAACCATGGCTCTGTGGCAACATGTGCTCTGGATGCAGAATGCCCCTGGTTCCATTGGCCTGATCCAACATTGGCTTCTCTTGTGTTCTTATCTGTGTGACAGAGTATTGGACTGGATGGGCCATTGGCCTGATCCAACACTGGCTTCTCTTATCCCTGGAGTCTCTGGTTAAAAGGACCAAATAGTGGGTGACATGAGAGACCTCTGCCTGAGACCTTGGAGAGCTGCTGGCAGTCAAAGTAGACAAAATTGACCTTGATAGACTCAGTATAAGGCAGCTTTATGGGTTCATATATTAGGTTGGTTATCTTGTACTATTTAATGATGTTGGTTTTTAATGATAATCCTTTCCTATAACATTACTAAGAAGAGAAACGAAGGAGTGGACTTTATACATAACAGTTTTATTTTTCCTGTATTATTATCTTAACTTGCTATAATCCACCCTGAGGGTTCATTTTTGGATGGAAAAACAGGATATTGTTAGATAGATGACAGCATATGACCAGTTATTATTAATGTAAATCCTGACACAAGGCATGTTTAGTCCATTTAACCTCTAGGGGGAGCTGTAATGTGTCTGTTCGTCAGAGCTGGCTGAATGCTTCTCCCCCCCC